TACCATCTGGATGCGACACACTCCAACATGGTTTGGTTGGTAGAAGCGAATGTGCATGCGGGGTCGCCCAGGATATTCATCTTCAAGAATCTGAAGGGGATGCAATTCTGTGTCGGGATCATGCTTTTCAAGTCGGCAATTGGAGCCAAATTCAACGTAGGTCATATTTTCGAGGTCAGGATGGCGCGGTCGTGCCAAATATCGAACCAAGAGAGTGGCATCAGACTCAGAACCGTCTTTTCGCGCCATTTGTCCATACTGGCGTCCTGGTAGATGAACTGGGAGTCGTTTGACGCCGGGTTGCTTCTGGGTTATATGAAAGGATGCAAGTCGGGTCGCCGCCTCAATACTGGAGAGGTAACGTCCACGTTCATAGTCGCGGATCTCATCAACAGGCTTTCGTGTACCAGTGCTAGAGTTAATCTGGTTTGAGGGTTGCTTGTAGATTTTCCAATTTGCTTGATCCAGAGATTTGAAGAAATACTTGTAGAGGTATTGGAACAGCGCCACTCCAGTGGAAAACTCCACATTAATGTGGCAATCATATTTCAAGATGAGCCATGCGACGTGAGAGACGATTACTTGATCCTCGGGATGGCGCCGCCGATGTTCAAAATAACCTGGACAGATATTTGAGTTGGCTCAAGAGTGTTGGGGAGAGAAGCAACATTTACCACGTTCGTTGAAGGATGAATGTGATTTAGTTTGTTTTGGAAACCCATATTGGCAACTGCGCGGCCAACCACATCTGTGATACGTCTTCGCAGGATCATGACTGTGAGTCATGTGCCACTTTACAGCATCCCGGAGTGGACCGGGTTCCCTGGGCAATTCTGCACTAAGGAATTTATCAATGTCCTCGGGTGATTTCGGGGCATTCTTCAATGCTACAGCTATGTGTTCATGTGGGAGACCTCGCTTCTGAAACTCTGTGACACGGATATAATACAGGATGGGGCCAAAGAGCAGCTTGATGTCCTTCATGAGTGCCGAAAGATATTGTTGAAAGACACGAACAATGACATCCGGACGGTCATTCGCAGATTGACCGGGCCGCAGCTGGGAAATAATCTCGGGCCAACGCGGATTAGTTGTGAACGTGATGAAGAGCGTTACTGGACCGAGGGCTTTGCGAAGAGCAAGACAGTCGGAAATATTAGCAGACGACCATGCAGGGGAATGGACGAGTGTGGAAGGTAATCGAACATCTTCCACTGGTTCTTCGTCTCCGGTTCCAATGTATTCTGCCTCATCCGGGTCCGAGTGCTGATTATGGCGGAGGTAAGTGAGTCGTGCCTCCTCCACTGCGCTCCAGGAGTCCACCATGTACTCTCCTGCAATAAATCAGGAAGGACATTGAAATACTGGATGGGAACACTCACCAGTCAACCGCGAGAATTTCGACATTTGCTCGGCGTTCATGAAAAAGCGAGTTCGATACCAACGTGCCTGGCTAAATTTTCTTCCATCCGAGGTTAGGCGACTTGGTGACCAACCTAGAGTGCCGTGGGGCAGCAGTAGTAAGTAGTGTAATGGCTCGACAAATGGTGAGAGTAAATCCAGGAGCACGGGGTCGTCGTCACCCTTGCGTTTGATCACCAACTTGCGGCGAGATGGTTGGGAAGCTGGAGCACGAGACACGATAGCTGCAATTTCATCCGTGATGCTGTCTCTGTGCTCGATGTGCAGAGCTATGTCTTCGTCATCGTCATAAATGTTGAGATTTTCAAGTTCGGCTATGAAAGGGTTGACCCGCTCGAGACCAGCTAGTGTGCTGTGAATCCAAGAATTTGGGATATCAAATTCAGCTCCCTTCATAAATAAGGCCCAAGGATCGTGTATGAACCACCGTATCGCATGCTGGCCCTCATGGGCAGGAAGCATACGATGGTAGGTACGTCCACCTGCTAGAGTAACTGCCGCAATCCCATCAGGGAGATGCATAAAATCGCCGTCATATACTCCAAGAGCAGTTAGGGAGAACAAATTGTTCAGTTTGCGCGAGATCGCTGCAGTTTTTCGATTGTCAAGAAAATAGTCCCATTCCTGAGGATACGGGGGGAGTAATGGTTGGTAATGAGTCCCATTAGGTCCACAGACCCAACATTGATTGTTTATTCGTTCACCTGTGAGAGCCTGCTTCAGGTGAGCGGTGCGATCTATGAAGTAGGGTAATTTGTGGCGTACCGTGATACCGCATATCGCACATTTACGATTCCATGAGAGGCCCAAGGGCTTTGTAATTCCAGACTTATTAAGGAGCACAATGCGATCCCACCACGGAGTTTCTGCAGGCTGTCTGCTTCGATGCTGGCTTTGTGCTTGAGTATTTTCACGCCGAATTTGGTCTATTCTGTCACGGGATAATAGAGAACGGGCAATTCTGCGAGCCCCAGAGTTCTGTTCTTGCCTCTGTTCACGGTCAAGGCTGTCCTCACGACTTCTTCGCTGTCGTTGAGCCTCCCGCTGGAGGCGACGACGCCATTCGACATCTGTTTCTGATTGACTTGATTGCGAGTCGGCCATCCTGCAGCTTATGTTGGATTCTTGCTCCAGAGTATAGATGAGGAGGGAGAGCTGGAAATTGGAGAGATTGAAGCTACTTTTCATTGTTTGAGTGTTTGCACGCCGCATTAGCGCTCGTGAAGATTGATAGAGATTTGATAACCTTTTTTACTCTCTTTATAAAATTATGCACGTTCGAAGCTTCTTAAACTCTGATGGCTCACACAGTTGCCGGTTTGATTGAGGGCTCCCTTAACTGCTACATCCTTAGGCCCGGGGGTTCGGCACAGCTTTCGGTCCTTGCCGCCGTGCGGCGCCGCATTGCCGTCATCTATCAATAACCTCTGACACACACTGCCCTAATTCCCACCGCGAGCACAATGGCGGAGGAAGTGCGTGGGTATATGCTACAGCGCCCAAGCCATTTCATTAAACTTGGGCGACGGCGCCGATGCAAGCGCCAATCTGTCCAGAATTTTCTAAAGCCTTTTCAATACCGACCCTTCGTTTTCTTAGCCGCCCAATGATTCTAGAAAGCCGCTGCGATCCTTTCACTTTGCAATCCTTTCACTTAACTGAGGTCAGCCACACATGAAATCATGATCATTTGCGAACAGATGAGAAACAACCTCACCCGCCATGAAGTGGTCGATCAACCCATTGTTAATTTGCGAGGAAGGTAACTGAGTAGTTGTGGTAGGAAGCGGATCACGGCTGGAAGCAATGTAGATCACAGTCCACAACCTCGGATGTGATAAGGATCTGAGGGGGAAGATCGATCAAATATAAGTTGGCGCTGGGTGGGCAGATGACCGATGGCGGAGTTTGAAATGGCTTCGGACGGACACGCATTATTACTCGTATCTTAAGCAGATGCCTCGAATCACATTGTACATGTTTGTTATTTCCTAATTCGCGCCTTTTTTCCCTTGGTGCCTGCATTCCATTGTCTTGGTCGCCTCAAGGCATTTATTTTTTGAACATCACGGAATAGCTCTGGGCGCCTCTGGTGGGCGCTCCACTATGACGCGTAGATTTCGTGAACTCCACCAATGCCGTGGCCAGCTTTAGCAGTCTAATTTCCTTTTGGTCTCCGGGTCCACCCGACAGATCAAAGATTGGTATTCTCGACCTCCCCGATCAGCTGCTCAACATGCGCTCAAAAGGCAGGGCCTAATTTGCTTCATTCGTTGTTGCACCGCACCATCTGCCCCCGTTCCGCGTCCCTTCCTCTGCCCCATCCCCCCGCGCACTCTTCCTCTGGCTACCTAGAAAGCAACTATCTGGATGTAATCTCAAACAAGTGGGCCTGCCTAATGTTTGCCGCCTCTTTTCGTTACCTTCTCGCGGTTCTCTTGCCACCAATGCGGTATTCCACTGTCGTCTAAGCAAAACCTCTGCAACTAGCAAGAGTCCGAACACAACACGACTCAATTGCAATTTCGCTCAACGTTGTTGTGCCGCCCTCTCCATTGCCATCCCTCGACGTTCCCCCCCTTCAGTGTCAATTGCATTCTTGACGGCTATCGCGTCAAGCGCTCCGCAAAGCCCCGGCAAGTATCAAGAACGACGACTGCGTCCTCAGTCGTGCCTCCAAAGCTCAGGTTGACGTCTGCTTTCCCCTCTATTAAATATGGACATTGATCACCATGATCACATACTCATGGTGATTTACCTCAACCGCGGTACGTTCTTTGAGCTCTCTACAGCAGTTTCGGTGGCGCTGACGATGCCATAGCCGAGGCGTTCGAGGAGGACTTCGGCCACCAATTCTCCGGGTACGACGGGCTCAACGAGCATTTCAAAGAAATGGCCGCACACGCAAGGTGGGCCGCTCGGCTTCGACGGTACAACAAGAACAACCTTGCTGCGATGATCACCGAGGCCGCGCGCCCCCAGACGTTTGCTGTCTGGAATGCATATCCCGAAGGTCACAATCGGTGTGTGGACTTTGACGCGAAACGTGCGTATCCATTGATCTTGAGCTTCTTGATACTGACTGCTTGTCGTAGTTCATCATTATGCGGCTGACCTCCTCGAGCCTGCCGTCTACGCCGCTCTGCCTCTTTATGGCTTTCCGTTCACCATCAAGAACGTCTATGCAGACCGAGAGACCTAGCTAGTTTTTCTCGGTCATTATAAATGTACGTGCTTACTGTTCAATTGAGTCGTACCAACTGGTTGAGTTTGAACTCCAGTTCTTTACCTCGAAAAACAGCTCCACACGCTCGCGCTCACCACTGGGAAGAACTGAATGATTGCGTCGGCCAGAGACGTGGGGCCGATGGTTACCCATTTGTACCGAGGCCTCCGTTGTGGTAGATATCAACCTAGGTACTTTGTATGTATGCACTGGGAATAAATTCTCTTTGTGGTCATTTTGGGTGCCACAGCGAAGTCTGAATGATTTGTGGTTTGTATACAATTTTTTCTTTTTTCTTTTTTTTTGAGCCCACACTGAAGATGGAAATAGGACACTGAATCATTCTCTTTATGGCCTTGTGGCTGAGGGGGTGACAGTGTCAGCGTCATGGCTCGCTGCGTAAGCTGATCCTCCTGGGCTCGAATCCCAGCAAGGCCTAGGGCGATTTTGCTTAAACTTTCTTTTTTTGATGGGATCAAAAAAATAAACTTTTCACCATTTTCATCAAGTTTCCGCATAGGACAGCTGTAACTTCAATTCTTGATACTCGATTAACCTAAATTTTTGACACCGTATCTTCCTACATATCCTCTAGGGGATGAATATTCCCATAAGGAATGTGACCAAAATTGACTCCCCATTGCTCCCTTTTGTGAGGGCATAAACTTTCTGCCCCAATGTGAAGCACTCTATACAGGTAATGCTCTTCATGACTTCCCATCAAGAGTCCCACCCCTTAGATATCATGCATCTATATAACATATCCAAAATTTAGGTCAATCTGAGATCTGTGTCCCGAGTTACAGCTGTCCTATACAGAAACATGATCAAAACGGCAAAAAGTTTATTTCTTGATCCCATCAAAAGATGTAAGAGCCCGTCCCCTGTGGATTCGCAGTGCCATTCGAACGCACCTATTTTCAAGAGCTTCTGACAAGAATTGAGCTTTTAGCAAGTGTTCTAAGTAAAACATCGCAGAAAAAAAAAAACAGCCCGCGCCTTATGTACCGCAAAGTGCTGTAAGCGGATGGTATGAATCGCGATGTCCGTGTTTGTGTCTCACACGGGCGAGCTGAAATTCGACTTGAGCCAACTCAGCCTCGCGGCAGCACATGTTCCCAGGAACCAATATTTCGGTATTGAGAAATGCCAAACAGGGGAATCATTAGGATATTACGATTACCTACTCCTAATATCGTCATAATCGTTGTGATCGTCGTGATCGGTGTTAACGGGTGAAGCAACACTGCTTCAACCCAGGTAACTCAAGAGTCAAGACAGCATTGTCCTGAAAACAGCGATCAGCACTGGTTACCCCAGCCCACTATGAATACTCCTGCCCAAAGAAAATGCAGTTCTCTTGTGGTCTTCCCGCTTGCTGTCACATCATTGGAAGCCATGTCAGTATACAAATGATGATGCCTGCATATGGAAATCAACCAAATCAGGTTTACCGTTATGATTGCCATCATGATTACCGGTGGGTTCACACGAGCTTCAAGACACACCATCTTTCTCTGTAAAAACACAGACTAGCCCCACCCCACTATGAACCATCCCGTCCAAAGTGGGCAAAATAGGAGCCCCTCTCATTCACGATCTTGCCTCCCCGTGACATTTCGAAAGTCCCTTTCACTAAGTCCCACTGCTTCCAGCCCATCAGAGGACGGTGGAGAAAGGGACTCCTATGCGAGTAGTGGGGAGATGGATGATGAGGCGTGCAGTGGGCCATCTTCTTCCCCAGTGCAGCCACCTGTCGTTGCGTCGTCCTCAAAGGAACACCACATGAGGGACATGAGGGAAGAGGGACTGCCCGGTGAGCACATTCCTAGCACACAGCCTGCCTTTCCTTCTAAATAACCTTAAATGCAGCATCTCTGCCTAGAGAGGGGGATATTAAGGCTCCCAGCAGTCCGTTGTCTCCAACATTGGCACTTCCTCATGGCACCCCTCCTTGCGAATCGACATTCATACGCAGCGCCAGATCCCAGGAAGGCACTAGCGACAGTATCTTGATGCAAGCTGGGCGACAGATGGTGGACATCCTTGCAACGGGCCATGGGTTCATGCCTGAAGTTGTCCTCGCGGTATTTAAGATGTGTGGGGACATTGCGGCAACAGATGTGATCTTGAAGGAGATGGCAGACGCAGCGCAGGCGGTGTTACACCTTCGATACGGTGACAGGGAAAGCGGGGAGCCAGCACCAATGGCGTAGCAAATGGGAAACATTATGCTGCACTCCAAAATTCTCAATAAATCCATACATTAAATTACACCGAACACTGGCCTCAGAAAAAATGAAGCAGCATGCATGTCGCTTCCTTCCATGACAAAAATAGTGCTGTATTCACTGCTGGCTGCCCATCTCAGTATGGGGCTATGATGTATCAGCCCTCGTTAATCTTCGGAAAGCGGTGATATATAAAAACCGCTAGCTGAGAGACCCATCTCATATACCATACCAGCGACTGCCGTCTGCATTTATTTAGGCGACCATCACACCATTGATTATAGTGGCCGTCGCTGTGTTGCACGGCGAGGACGAACATCCGCTTTTGAAAGGCAACGATCAAAAGCTCTCGACGTCGTCGTAGACGATGAGCCCAGACCAAAATTTACGAAAAAAAATATAGTGAATACGGGGACAGTACATACGACACGGATCGGAAAGAACGAAGGTATCAAGGATAAACAACGACATGAAAACACGACTTACGCTGAAAAGCTCCGTTTCTTTTGCGGCTTCCACTTTATTTACGAGCTCGAGAAAACAAGGTTGGACGCATAAGTAAGGCGAAGGACTATGCGAGCTAAGAACATCAAGCTGCGTCCCACCACAGGCGCTGCCGGGACTTGCAGCCTCATCTCTGCCCTGCCGCAGGCCCACGCTGCAGTGGGGCGCACCCTACCTCGCAGATAGCGTGGGGCGAGTACGGCAGTGGATACACGAGGATTCTCGTTCATGGGGAATCCCGGCCTAGCACGTGGCGCCGCTTCAGCACGCATATCGAGCGCCCGCGATCAGGCGTCCGCTATCACAGCGTGCACATGACATTAGACAGCGCGTTGTGAGCGCAGGAGGGCATTCGAAAAGCGTAGCGCACTCGGATGTATTCCAAGGTGCAAGCCCGGCGTCGTTTCAGTAGCCGTGTCAGCTCGGGCATCTAGCGCGTGCTTTGGCATATGTTCCTGCCTCGTAGAGAACACGGCGTGGGCGTGAGGGACCGCGACCGCGAAGCAGAACGTGCCTCACGACGCATTCGTCCCCGCGGATAGCTCGATTTCTGGCGCCATTTCCGTGGCTAAGGCACCTCACATGTCGATCGCGTTGGGCCAGCGGGCAGCTGCAGCGGTGCACGGACCGGAAAATTATGCGTAGGCACGGGATGCAGCGCCTACATCCTTCCAGCTGTGCCGACGCTGCTTCACACGGGACGATTCACCACGGGCTCGAGCGCTGCAGCGGCCAGAGTGAGAGGGGGGATGAGCCGCCCTGCAAAGGACAGACGCAGGGTGCGTGGCGCGAGCGCTTGGACGGGGATGGTGTATATCGGCAGCACGGGGGACCTCGCGCAGAGCCGCCATCGACGCAGCGATCAGAATGCCAAAGCGCGACGTACGAATGGACTGACGAGACCCCGCAAAGCGCGGAGGAGGAGGATAATTTTCGGATACTTTGCGAGGTAAAATTCGGCGGAGGACAGCCAGCGACGAGGATGAAGACGATGTTGCCGCGGCCAAGCAGCAAGCAACCCCCACCGATTGCGCCCATACAATGCACACGATAAAGAATAGGTGGCCGCCGTGCCTACGGGCAAGGTCTTGGCATCGGACAAGGGTGGTATACGATTGAGTTGACGATTGATTTGTACTTGCAATTTGTAGAAGGACGTGTCAACTCTGTCAGAAGGGATGTATCTTTTTCCGTACCAAATTTCCGTGACCATGATATTACCGTTTCAACGTGGTTGAGTTAAGTAGGCGACCAGAGGACTCATCTATGTACCCGGGACTATTACCGTAAGTATGTGAACGGTCAGCGGCGACACACGGCAATGTAAATGGAAGACGCGGCGCAAGTGAAGACGCGGCCCTTGGCTGGTTTCAGCTTTGCTGACCATCGCATCGTTTGTGATATGAATGCATTGTTTCTGTTAGACACACCTACTCGCCATACCCCAGCCGCCCCCTAGCTGCCGAGCTCTGGATTCTCATCCTCGAATACCCCACCTGGCCACCCTACCCCTCTACTTCCCCCATGCACGATCATGGGGCCGACGCCCTGTCAGATTTCACGGGTCCCTTCTGGCAGCCTTCATCGTTCCACATCGAGAATGTGTGCAAGCGCTGGTTGGTGCTTGCGTTTGTGCATGCTAGGCGTGCAGTGTTGGGAGGTGTGCAATCAGGAGTGCAAGTGCAATCAACACTGGCAGATCTTGGAAGAGGTGAGACGGGGGCCTCTGTCAGTACGGGTGGGGGTGGATCGTGAATCCACTGCAGGGAACCGTTTGGCGTGACAGACGGTGTTGCAATGAGGGGCTCGGTCCCTCGCAAGTTGCCTCGTGAAGATCCCAGCGCATACCCCTGTGATTGCTGGTAACCCTGCCAATATTCCTGCGACCGAGACTCAGGGTAGCTTTGCAACTGGGAATTGGGAGGCTGGTAACCTCTGAACACGTCGTACACTGCCGCCCGCAGGGTTACTTCGTCGTCTAAGCTCAGCAGTGCGTTCTCCCTCTGCAGTGGAAGCGACACCTGTAATCTCTCCGGCAGCAACACCTCAGTCTGCATGCGCTGCAGCTTCCGAGGCCTGGTGCGACCTTCCTCGTCAGGCCACTGTCGCGCGACGCCCATAACAAACCCGTGCCTGACGTCCTCCTCCTCTGTGTCATCCGGCCGCGTGCGTTTCAGTGCACGGCGCGAGTGCAGGTGTGCAGCCTGTCCACGGCTCGGGCCTGCTACCACAGCTTGAAGAGTGCTGGGTCCGGGCTGAATTTGGCGCCGAACAGGAGGCGGGGCTGCGAATAATGGTGCGATGGGTGGTAGAACACTCTCGTATGCGAAATCCCAGACTTTAATGCCTAACATCGCAAGAGCTTTTATGGAGGGCTGGTCGTCCAGTCTGGGTGTGGGGACGGGTGTAGCAGCTTTGTGGGCCATGTCAATGTGTCGGAAGTCGAGAAAAGTGCGGGTCGAGGATGGTGGCAGCTTGTTTGGTTTGAGAAAGGTAACAAAAAACGAGAGAAAGGGGTGATTTTTTGGTGAGATGGCCCAGACAAAAGTCGGGCCAAAGTCAGGGTAGTTGCGCTCACGTGCTGGGGGACCAGCATCACGTGCTCCATCACACCGGAGATAGTCCAATTTTGGCTCCCCCAATCGCCGAGACCATCAAGGTCGAGGTCAAGTTTCGTCACATGGTGGATAGCTGCTGTCATGT